GGCTGTGCCCATACAGGAAGCCTCTTCTTTTGGGTGAAAAGGAAACTTCCCTCCCCAACTTAGAGGTTCCAGAGAGACTGCCCCCTCTGGTGGCACTACTATGAAACAGTGGGAGTCTCAGGTAAATTAAGTAAACCAAAGTAACATCACAAAGGCTCTGACAATTAAATTTTCATTGTAAGTACTGTCCACAAAAATGTCCAAGAACTGTATGCTAAAGCTAAGCATGCCTGCTACAATAAAAAACATAAATAGGATCCACGGTGACCTAACACTAACAGCAAAACATCCAGGATACAAATGACTAAAAGACAATGAACAAAGAAGAAGCATGGAAGTATAACAATCATTGTCATGTACAGCAAGAATAGAAGGATGTCACCAGTAAGAAAGTATCCAGGTAATAATAATGAGAGCTAGAGCCACGTTTGTTGCTTACAGTGTACCAGACACTGTTCCAGGAACTTAAAATCAACGAACCCTTTTGTTACAACCATTCTATTGGTTAGGTATTCTTATTATTTCTGGTTTTGCATGGATAAACTGAACATGGGGAGGTTAATTAACTTGAATTAGCCAAACAGCTCACAAGTGATGGAGTCAGGGTTTACAAACTTTCAGTCATGTTCTCAGCTTCCACTCTCTACTTAGAGTGATATAAAGTATGACAGAGCAGACTGTGAATGGCCATGAGTGTCTTTTTAAGGGATCTAGACTATATTTTGTAGGCAAATGACTATGTGAGCAAATCTATAAAAAATAACTCTGGAAAAAACAAAAAAGGTTTAATCAGAAGAAGAAACACTAAAATAGAAAAAGCAGATAATGTCCATAAGAAAGAAAAGGAAAGGATATTAAGAATCTAATCTACACAAGTAACGATATCATTGAGGAGAGGCTATTACCAGGGATAAAAGGAAACTTCAAAAAGAAGACATAATAATTCTAAACATTTAGACAGCTAATATCAAAGGTTCAAGACACTCGAAGCAAAAGCTGATAGAACTTCAAGGTAAAATACATGAATACATATTATGGCCAGGGATTTCAACAGACCTCTCTCAGTGATCTATGGAACAGGTAGATAGAAGTCACGAATGCTACAGAGCTGAACACTATCAACCAATTGTTGATTCTAAAGTTGATATTTGTAAAACACTCCAACCAAAACCAGCAGAATATTTTAGAACACAGAGTACTTACCAAGGTATGTTACAAGTTAAACCACGAAGCAAGTCTCAATAAATTAAAAAGGGACAATTTAGACAAGTATTTTATGACAAAGAAGTAATTAAATAGAAAACTAATAGTAAAAAGAAATCTGGAATATCCCTCAAATATTTTGGAATAAAATATACCCTCTTAAGTAACACATCTGTCAAAGAATAAATCAAACACAAAATTACCAACTCTTAACTGAATGAAAATGAAAATACAAGAAATTGGAATAGGTGGAATACAACTAAAATGTGCTCAAAGAGAAATTAAGGCCTATATTAGAAAAGAATTAAATATCAAATTATTAACCTCAGATTCATCTGAAGAAGTTAGAAAAAGAGTTCATAAGTAGAAGTAGAAAAATAGAAATAATAAAGAGCAGAAGTCAATTAAAAAGGGAAAACAACAACTAGCAAAACCAATAAAACCAAAAGCTAGTTCTTTGACAAGGTCAATAAAACTAGTAAACCTCAACCCAGACTCATTTGGGAAGAAAGCAAGAGAGAGAAGATAGAACTTATCAATATTTATCCATATAAGATATGAATAATTGTACTATAACTAGACATAAAACATCATTGAAGATCCTATAGACATAAGGACAAAAAAAGAACAAACAACATCAAAACCTTATTTTATTAAAGAAATCAGATTTTTAGTTAAAAATTCTCCCAGAAATAAAACTCCAGGCCCTGATAGCTTTTTTGCTGAATTCTGTAAAACATTTAGCAGACAATTAACACCAATTCTGCATAATACCTATCAGATAAATAAAGCACAGGAAACACTTCTCACTTCATCATGTGAGACCAGAATTACACTGATACCCAAACTAGATAAAAGACATTAAAAAAAACCAAAAAACAAAAAACCATAGATCTATTTCTTGTGAACATAGTTGTAAAAATTACCAACAAAATTTTAGCACAATTGAATCTGAAAATATATTAAACAAATAGCACATTATGACTCCATTTGTTTTCACACTGCTTATAAAGCATACCCAAGACTGGGAAGAAAAGAGAGGTTTAATTGGAGAGAGGTTTAATTAAAAGAGAGGTTCCACATGGCTGAGGAGGCCTCAGAATCATGGTGGGAGGTGAAAGACACTTCTTACATGGCGGTGGCAAGAGAAAAATGAGGAAGAAGCAAAAGCAGAAAACCCTGATAAACCCATCAGATCCCATGAGACTTAATTCACTATCATGAGACTAGCATGTGAAAGACAGGCCCCCATGATTCAATTACCTCTACCTGGGCCCCTCCCACAACAGGTGGGAATTCTGGGAAATACAATTCAAGTTGAGATTTTGGTGGGGACACAGCCAAGCCATATCCATGACCAAGCAGGAACTTTCCAGGGAATGAAAGGATTTAACATTTGAAAATCAATCAACAAAACTCACTACCTTAAGAGACCAAAACTGAAAACCATATGGTGATCTTAATAGATCCATAAAAAGCATTTGCCAAAATACTACACTCATTTCTAATGAAAGAACTCTCAGCTAAGTAGGAATAGAAGGAAATTTCCTCAGCCAGAGGAAAAAGGCATCTATGAAAAACCTATAGCTAACACCATAATTAAAAAGTCCTAATGATTTCCCCCAAGATCAAGAACAAGGCAAAATATTTGCTCTCACCACTTGTATTAAGAGTTCTTGCAAGTACAAGTCAAGAGAAACAAATTGAAAGTATTTAAATAAGAAAAAAATTAAAACATGATTTTCAAATGATATGATGTTCTATACAGAAAATTCTGAGTAATCTACAAAAAAAGCTACAAGAGCTATTAAATGAGATTGGGAAGATCTCAGTATTCAAGGCCAATACAAAAAGTCAGTTGTATTGCTATATGATAGCAACAAAAAATTGGAAGGTAAAAATGAAAAAATTAATAGCATCAAAAAAATAGAACACTTAATAAATTTTGTAAAACCAAAAGCTGCAAGTCATCTGAGAGAAATTAAAGAAAGCCTAAATAAATGTAGATACATATTAATAAGTGTGTTCATGGATCAGAAGATTTGTTATTATTAGAATATCATTTCTTTCCAAATTGAACTTTAGATTCAGTGCAATCTCAGCAAGAGTTTTTGTGGAAATACACTAATTCGAACATTTGCATGAAAGTGCAAAAGACCCAGAATTGTTAAAAAAACTTTTAGAAAGAAGAAAAATATTGGCAAACTAACATTACCTGATTTCAAGATATAAATCTACTGGTTTCAAGACAATGTTGAGTTGATGTAAAGACAGACAGACAGATCAATGGAACAAAATAGAGTACAAAAATATACAACTGCATATATGATCAATTAATTTTCAACAAAGGCTCCAAGGCAGTTCAGTGTGGACAAGATAATTACTTAAACAAATAGTGTTGGGAGATGGGGCTACCTGTATGTCTGAAAATACAAAAGTTAACCTCATATTTCTTCTCACACCACATAAAAAGATTACTGATGACAGAACTTAGAATCAACTATAAGATACAGGATAGGCCGGGCACAGTGACTCGTGCCTTTAATCCAAGAACTGTGGGAGGCTGAGGCAGGCGGATCACCTGAGGTTGGGAGTTCAAGACCAACCTGACAAGATGGAGAAACCCCATCTCTGCTAAAAATGCAAAAGTAGCCAGGAGTGGTGGCATATGCCTGTAATCCCAGCTACTTAGGAAGCTGAGGCAGGAGAATGCTTGAACCCAGGAGGCGGAGGTTGTGGTGAGCCGAGATTGTGCCATTGCACTCCAGCCTGGGCAATAGAAACTCCACCTAAAAAAAAAAAAAAAAAAAGATACAGAACAATGGCAGTTTTCAAGGAAAACTTGGAAAGAAATCTTAGCAATACTCAGTGTGGTAAACTACCAAAAGTGTACCAAATGAATTTAAAATTTTTACAATATTCATATAACTGAATACAACTTTTCAATAAAAAGACAAGATTTTAAAAATTTTAAGAAAATCTCAATATTTCAGCACATTGCAATTAATCTGTTGCTGGACAAAATATTTTCCCAAAGTTGTTTTAACCATGGAAAACTAAGATGTCCTTTAATGACAGACATCTTAGACTACTTATTGTTATCTTGATGCTCCTTAAGAACTTCAAAAGCTTTTACTATAGTAATTTGATTTTATTCTAAGTTGTTCTTCATTACTAATTCATAGAGCAAAAAGCATAAGCCAAACTTCCAAAGGACTCATTATGTTCTCGGTTGAAATCAAATTAAAACTAAACACAGGAATGCGCCCTCAAGGCCATCTAAGTATATTTTTCTTTATGTTTACACATTTTTTTAGTACTTGATCTATGACTATCTTCATTTCACTGAACTGTAGATTTTTACAAAGGAAATAAGTCTTTCTATCCAGACACTGAAATGTAAACTACACAAGAGGATAAAGAAGAACACCCAGGCTAAAACCAGGAAAGTAATGCTTGTCTCAGAAGGAATTAAATGAAAAGAGAATAAGAAATACGATGAATTATAATAAGGAGAAAGAGAACATCACATAACTTTAGATGTGTGACTAAGACTCAAGGAATTTAAAGTAGATGACAGATCTGCAGAAAAGACACTGGCTTTTCCACTGGAAACGATATTTACTTAGAAAGGAACAGCAAAGAAAAGATGGTTGCAGAGTAAACTTTACCCGTTTCAACAGGTTTATTGTAGGAAGAATATTTTAAGTAATTTTTTTCAATTATAAACTTACTTCAAAATAGGCATTTTGTATGCCATAGATTTGAATGAAAGTAACACAAGCAATTTTATACTGCTACAGTTTTTATTGTTCATTTTCCAACCTGTGTTCCAAGTCTTGGGGTTCTCTTTAATTTCCCTTATTGACAAAGCTACTTCCAGCTGCCCTCTGTTTTCTAAAGTATGTTCTTCCAGAACTGCCTAGCTTCCGATTGCTAGCTTACGTACAACCTGACTACAATTCAGCATGGTTTTTTAAATTCTATATGAAATACACCTTCTATTTAAAGAGTGGGAACCTGTCCATCGTTGGTATTAGATAAATCTTTATGGACAGGATTTGTTTTTAAAACCTCTTCAAATTTTGCATCATCTTCTGAAACAACTGCTGGAATTCCTGCCACCTGGGGTGACTGAAGTCCGGTAGACATATTCACTACCAGAGCCTCAGTTTCAGGGGTTTGTTCAGATGGTGGAGGTGAACCTTCAGCAGATGCCTCTTGTATAGGAAGCTCCTCAGTCAGAAGCAAATCAGCAGGTGGGGATTGTGCGTCAACAGGGGCCTCTTCTGCAGGGACCTCATCAGCTGCGGGAGAGTGTACTTCAGCAAGGGTCTCTTCCACAGGAGTCTCCTCAGCTGGTGGAGGCTGAACTTCAGCAGGGGCCTCCTCAGCTGGTGGAGGCTGGACTTCAGCAGGGGCCTCCTCAGCTGGTGGAGGCTGGACTTCAGCAGGGGCCTCCTCAGCTGGTGGAGGCTGGACTTCAGCTGGAGCCTCTTCTACAGAAGCCTCTGTAGCTGCTAGAAACTGAATTTCAGCAGAGGCCTCTTCTGCCGTTGTCTCTTCAGCTGGTGGAGGCTGAATTTCATCAGGAAACTCCACTAATGGAGCCTCTTTAGCTGGTGGAGGCTGAACTTTAACAGAATTCTCTGCATCTGCTGTGGCTGCCTCAGCAGCAGGAGTCTGTTCTGTTGGTGGCTCTATTTGGACATAGATGTTTTCAGTGGTTCTGGGCTCTGCCTTAGCAGTGGACTCTTCAACTAATGCAGGCTGTATTTCAGCTGGGAATGTTTCTGTTGGTGGAGGCTCTATTTCAGCAGGAGCCACTTTTTCAGCAGCAGAATCTTCTTGTACAACAGGTAGAGTCACTTCTTGCTTAAGCTCGTCTTCTAAGAGTACCGGAGGACCATTTTTAGTCTCCCGAGTAAATGAAGTTCTGCTGATACTTTTCTGCCTAATTTCTTCATTGCTACTTGTTGCTGGTTGAAATACAGGGTGTTCACTAACCAAAATCTTTCCCGAGGATGTATGTTTCAGGGCACCTTCCTTTGACTTTATAAAAGAACTATCTGGCCTGGAAATAACCACTATTTCTGATTCACTAAAGAATGTCTGTTGTTCCTTGTCCACTTTTTCTACGTGTGGGATGTTCATCATGGTCCAGTCTCCAGTACAGCTGGTCTGCTGAGATCTGTCCATTTTTAGTTGAACTGAAGGGACGTTTGGTGGAATTTCTACTTCCTGAACACTCTCTGGCAATTCAATACCCGCTCCTCTAACACCAGCTGACTTTTCTTCAGGTACCACAGTTTCCTCAACTAACTTGACTTCTTTTTTCTCTTCTACAATGATATCTGTCTGGAGAGACTTACTAGTCATTTCCTGTCCATGCTTTCTCTTTGTCCATGTTTGCTGAAGTTCAGAAGATATTCTGAGAGACTTATAGGTGTTGGCAGGGTAGTTGCCTTTGCTTCCAGAAATATTAGCAATACTATGTGTAGCTTTGGGGCTAGATGATTGTGGCATGGCCATGTGTTTCTTTTTCTCTTTTATATCAGTTTGCTGGGATTTGTCTACCATTGGTTGGCTGGGTCGTCTTCTCTTTCGAATTTCTTGCCTCCGTGCTGAGACAGGCTGATCAGGGTCTTCACTTTCTTCCATTTTTAAGACTAGTGACTTCAAATTTATTAATTTTCAAGTAATGACCAAAAATCCCAAATGTACCAAGTGTCAAAGACTTTGCCTATCTTAGGTGTCATTCTGTTGAGTTCCCTCAGCAAAAAAGTAATTCATAAGTTATTGCATTCCATACCCACACTCTTGTTGGATCCCACCTTATTCAGTAAGCATCTTTCTTGCTTAGTCTCTGTTATAACTAGATACCACTTTTAGAAGTTTCCTTCAAGGGTCTATGACATCATAGCCAGTTCTGCCTTCAAGATTCCATCAGTTGTGTTCCTAGGACTTTTAAATAGTATACACTCATAGGTAATGGCTGCAAGTGAGACATCTTTTTGAAACAAGTCAAGTTGAAGAAAGCATTTGTCTACAAAAGAACATCAGGTAAATTCCAGTAATGACACTTTCTAATTGCTGAAATTGATGCTTTTAAACTTTCAAATCTGTTCTTTTCATCCTATTATCAAAGATAGTAAGGCAGAATTGAGAATGCTGCATCGTATTTTCTTTCTTTCTGTTTTCTTTTTTTTTTAAGACAGAGTCTTGCCCTGTCAGCAGGTGCCAGGCTGGAGTACAGTGGCGAAATCTTGGCTCACTGCAATCTTCACCTCCTGGGTTCAAGCATTTCTCCTGCCTCAGCCTCCCTAGTAGGTGGGACTACATGCACACGCCACCATGCCCAACTAATTTTTGTATTTTTTTTAGTAGAGTCAGGGTTTCACCATGTGGGCCAGGATGGTCTTGATTTCTTGACCTCGTGATCCGCCCGCCTCGGCCTCCCAAACTGCTGGGATGCCTATTTTCAATTGTAGAAAACAACCAATAACATGTGTGAGGCTGTTCTATCAATGTATGTTTATATGACCTGAAAGGAAGTTACTGCTGTTTGAAAAACAAATTCTCAAGTTTATCTCCATGTAAGCTCCTTTTCTACATCCTTAGCCTTCAGTAACTCAACAGCCTATTATCAAAATATAGAAGGCATGCTTATCTTCTAAAACATCTTGAGATACTTTAATTTTTATTTAACTCTTTTACAGTGTAGCTCTACCCCAAATATGGCAACTAAAAGAATGAGTCTAAATACATACCAAGTGAGATAAAATGCACCTTTTGAAGTAGTCACATTAGACTCTGCTGAGTAACTACATGGGAGTGAATGCCCCAATGTAGATAAAAACTTTATTTTTATATTTGTTTTGTTTTTTGAGACAGGATCTCATTCTGTAACCCTGGCTGGAGTGCAGTAGTGCAATCATAGCTCACCGCAGCCTCTGTCTTCTGGGCTTAAGCAATCCTGATACAGTAGCTGAGATTACAGGCATAAGCCGCTGTACCAGCTGAAGACAAAAACATCAAATTGAAGCTATGAAAAGGAGGAATTCCAATTAAGCAGGCTGTAGATGGCATTGTATTAGATTTGGAATACAGATAAAATTCTAACTCATATCACTCAAGAATTTTACTAGTAAGATGAATATTGATTAAACAATGTGTGAAAATATTGTGCATTAGTGTGAGGAAAGTTAAGAGAAAATAAACTTTTAAAATACAGTCATAGGAGACAACATAGTAACCATATGCCAAATAATAATTATGACTGCATTAATCTGGGAATATTTTAAAATTTATTTATGCCATATTGCCCCTAGAAAACATAGTGAATTGAATAATTCTCCTTTTTTTCACATGCTTTGGTGTTATGAGCTGAATGTTTGTGGCCCTGCTCTTTATCCACAAATTCATATGTTGGAACTCCCAAAGTTATGGTATTGAAAGATGGGATCTTTGGGAGTTGCAGGCATACCTCATTTTATTACACTTCACTTTTTTTGTGTTTTATAGACACTGCACTTTTTACAAATTGAAAGTTTGTCGCAAGCCTGCATCAAGAAAGTTCATTGGTGTTATGAATAACATACATTGTACCCATTAGTTAATTTCTTATCATCTCTCACTTCCACCCCCTACACTTCTGAGTTTCCATTGTCTGTCATTCCACACTGCATCCATGTGGATGCGTTATTTAGCTCCAAGTTATAAGTGGTAAGATGCATTGCCTTTCTGTTTCTGAGTTGTTTATCTTAAAATAATGGCCTCCAGTTGCATTCATGTTGCAGCAAAAAACATGACTTTATTCTTTTTTATGGTTAAATAGCATTCCATCATGTATATACACTACATTGGCTTTATCCAGTCATCCATTGACGGACACTTAAATTAATTCCTTATTTGTGCTGCTGTGAATATTACTGTGATAAACATTCTAGTACAGGTATCTTTCTGGTGTAATGATCACTCATTCTTTGATTATTTGGGGTGTTTTTCTATTGAGTTTTTGAGATCCTTATATATTCTGGTTATTAATCTCTTGTCAGATGGTTAGTTTGCAAATAATTTCTCCCATTCATTGTCTTTTCACTTTGTCTTTTCACTTTGTTGGCTCTTTCCTTTGCTGTGCCCATTTGTCTGTTTTTGCTTTGGTTGCCTGTGCTTGCCCAGACCAAAGTCCTGGAATATTTTTACGAGTTTCAGAGTGTTGTATCTTAGATTTAAGTCTTTAATCCACTTTGATTTGATTTTTATGTATGGTGAAAGATAGGGGTCTAGTTTCATTCCTTTGCATATAGTGATCCAGTTTTCCCAACACCATTCATTGAAATGACTATCTTTCCCCCACCTTGTGCTCCTGTTGCCTTTCTCAAAAATGAGTTGGTTGTATGTAAATTCTTGGATTTATATCAAGGTTCTATATTCTGTTTTATTGATATATGTGTCTATTTTTATTCTAGTACTGTGCTATTTGATTACTATACTTTGTAATAAATTTTGAAGTCGGGTAGTATGAGGCCTCCTGCTTTGTTCTTTTGGCACAGGACTGCTTTAGCTATTCAGGATTTTTGTGGTTTCATACAAATGTGAGGATTTTTTTTTCTATTTCTCTAAAGAATGGCATTGGTATTTTGTTAGGGATAGCATTGAATCTATAAATTGCTGAGCAGAATTGTAATTGTAATAATGTTGATTATTCCAATCCATGAGCATGGAATATCTTTCCATTTTTGTATAATATTGTACTTGTTTTATTAGAGTTTTATAGCTATTCTTGTCTAGATCTTACATGTGATTGGATAGACTGATTCTTAAGTATTTTATATTTTTGTAGCTACTGTAAATGGGATTGCTTTATTGATTTCTTTTTCAGACCACTATTGGCATATAAAAATGCTCCTGATTTTTATATATTTATTTTATTTCTGCAACTTTACTGAATTTATCAGTTTAAACAGTTCTTTGGTGGAGCTTGTAGGCTTTCTTAGGTATAAGATCATGTTATCTGTGACCAAGGCTAATTTGGCTTTTTCCTTTCCAATGGGTGTTACTTGTTTCTTTTTCTTCTTTAATTGATCTATCTAGGGTATCCAGTGTTAGGTTGAATAATGGTGGCAAAAGTGGGCACCCTTGTCTTGTTCCAGGTTTTAAAGGAATCCAGTTTTCCCCCATTCAACACAATGCTAGATGTGGGTTTGTCATATATGATCTTTATTATTTTAAGGTATGTCCTTTCTATCTCCACTTTGATGAGGATTTTTATCATAAAAAATGTTTAATTTTCGTCAAGTGCTTTTTTGGCATCTATTGAAATTATGTCATTTTTGTTCCTGATACAGTTGAGGTGCTGTACCATAGTCATTGATTTACATATGTTGAACCATCCTTACATGCCTGGAATCAATCCCATTTGATCACACTGAATGATCTTTTTAATGTGTTGTATTTAGTTTGCTAGTATTTTGTTGAGGATTTTTGTATCTTGTTCAGTAGATTGGCCTGTAGTTTTGTTTTTTACTGTGTCCTTCCCTGGTTTTGGAATTAGAGTAATGCTGGCCTTGTAAAATGACCTTGGAAGTTCTCCTGCCTCTTCTATTTTTGGAATAGTTCAAAGAGAATTGATACTAGTTCTTCTTTAAAGGTTTGGTAAAATGCAGCAGTGAAGCCCTCAGGTCCTGGGCTTTTTTCTTAGTAAGTCTAGATAATGGTTTGTTGATTTTACTTTTCAAAAAAAACTTTTTGCTTTGCTGATTTTCTGTATTGTTTTTTAGTCTCCATTTTATTTATTTCTGCACTGATCTTTACTATTTCTTTCCTTTACTAATTCTGGGTTTGGTTTGTTCTTGCCTAATTCCTTGAGGTGCATCATTAGGTTGTTTATTTGAAGGCTTTCTACCTTTATAATACGGGCATTATTGCCATAAACTTACTTCTTGGTACTGCTTTTGCCATATCCTGTAGATTTTGGTATGTTGTATTTTCATTTTCATTTGTTTCAAGAAATTTTAAATTTCTTAACTTCTCTATTAATTCATTGGTTGTTCTGGAGCATGTTGTTTAATTTCCATGTGTTTGTATATTTTGTATAGTTCCTCTTGTTACTGATGTCTAGTTTTATTCCATTGTGGCCAGAAAATGTACTTGATATGGTTTTTATTTTTTAAAATTGATTCAGACTTGCTTTGTAGCCTGATACAGTCTGTTCTAAAGAATTTTCCATGTGCTGATGAAAAGAATGTGTATTCTGCAGTAGTTAGGTTAAAGGTTCTTTAAATATCAGTTAGGCCTATTAGATCTAATGTGTTGTTTAACTCTGTTTCTTTGTTCCTTTTGAGCAGTCTATTACTGACAGTGGAGTATTAATGTCCCCTACTAATGTATTGAAGTTTAGCTCTCCCTTTAGATCTACTAATGTTTGTTTCATACACTTGGGATCTCCAGTGTTAAAGGCATAGATATTTAGGATTTACATATCATCTTACTGAATTGACTCCTTTCATAATATAATATAATGACTTTCTTTGTCATTTTTACAGTCTTAGATTTGCAGGCTATTTTATATAAGTGTAGCTACCCCTGTTCATTTTTGGTTTCCAGTTACATTGGAATATCTTTTCCGCCACTTCACTTTCAGTTTGTGTGTGTCGCTATAGGTGAAGTGGGTTTCTTGAAGGTAGCACATAGGTGGATCTTGTTTCTTTATCCATGCAGCCACTCTATGCCTTTTAATTAAATAATTTGTAACTGTTTACATTCACTGTTATTATTGAAAAGACTTACTATTGCCATTTTTTGGCTTGCTTTTTCTGGTTTTAAGATTCCTCTCTTCCTATTCTCCTTCCTTCCTTCCTGTCTTCCTTTGTGGTTAAGTGATTGTATTTGGTAGTATGTTTTAATTTGTTTTTATTTTTAGTGAATTTAGCGTAGGTTTATGCACTGTAGTTACCATGAGGCTTACCAAGTTATTTTACATAACAAGTTATTTTAAAGAGATGACAACTTATCTTACATCACAAACAAGATAATAGAAACAAAAGTCAAAAAAACCCATACAAGAAAAAGTCTACACTTTAACTCTACCTTCCCCCCTCCCACACTGTGACATTTAGTCCTCTCAATGTACATATTTTTATATTATCTATCTCTTAGCAAGTTG